ATTCCTGGATTCGAGACTAAATACAGGAATTCTCGATAACATCATATTGATATCAACTCAATGGCATATTCTCTGTGAACATGAGAACTATTATCGGTATTAGTAAAAGCATTAGTGATATTTGCTATATGTCAGTGGGAAATAGCGAGAATGTACTGTTGTTGGATGCGGTGCGATCGTTTGCTTGCCTGCTGCTGCTGCTGCTGCTGTTTCTGCTGGTGTGCCTGGTTGGCTGCTGCTGCTGTTATGTTGATGACGGAGGGCGGCACGGTGCTATTCGATACGTCTGTGCACTCCGCAGTCCGTGAACTGACTCGTTGACGGATGGGCGGAACCATGCCGCATAGCGACGATGCGTTCGCTCGCTTACTTTATCGATTGATGAGTTGGCCTGACTTGTATCATCGCTACAATCTCCAGCATTTGGTTGCTTGCCGCTGTTCCGCTTCACTTTATCGCTTTCCTTATCGATATAATGCTTTATTCCTTAATCTATCAATAGAAATGTCGAAGTGAAACTGCCTCATATCATCATCTCGCATGCTAAACATTTTTGACTGCACTGTTCAAAGTTCCTCGTTTTTTTGTATTCAAATAACACATCTGCTCAATTTTCATGCCTTTCTGCTGCTATTATATTGTTGTTAGTTAACCAGGTAATATCGAGTACAGACCCGAAGCGGAATGTTTTCACTGTGTTATGTTGAAGTGAGCATGCTCTTATCACATTCAAGCATATGCGAGTATAATTTGGGTGATACCTAACCTTACGCCTGATTAACGTTTGCCAAGGAGCGGCAAATTCTGTTTGCTTGAGGCCGAAATGTTTGTCGTATTGGCAAACTTTAGTGCATCCACTACATGACGATTATCCACTGCTCTAACGATAAGATATCACTGTGTGCACCAAAAGAGATATTTGCACAAGTTTGCATATTACGCACGGTAGCATATAATGTGTAATTTTATCGTTCCATTTTACTAACTAAACCCTTGAAGTATCACTATCACTCTATCACTTCATCAATTTCACCCTCACCTATCAGATTTATCACAAATTCTTTCGAGTCCCAAACTTTTATCACATTTATCGCAAATAACCATCTGTAACACTAATTTCCTCTGTTTACTGTGAGTTTTGACCGTTTCGAAAAATGAGCTCCATTTCGTAAAAACTAGTAATGGTGGATTATGAGTATAAAAGATGCTGGTAATAATCATTTCAATGAGCATATCACGGCAAACATTGTGATGATTGTAATTAAACCCCTTGAATTGACAGTTATTCTCCGAAACTGGAGATATAAAACATGCGTTTTGCATTGAGAAAATGGTATTGGTTTATGAGCTCGATCAAACATCATCTCAAAAAACCATTATTCAGTTGGCATTTTCGAGGCCAGGCAGCGAGAAACTTCCTCCGAAACTAAACAATCGCTTGCAACAGTGCGTTTGTGATTCATGCAGAAAGTGTGCAACTGAACCGCTAACGAATATATTGTTTTTTAAACTACCAATATCGACAATGCATCATCAGCGGCTATTGCCCCTATTTTCACTCGAATTCGTGCAAGGAAACAAATTCCAGCTTCTGTTTTCTTATAAAGAATGGAGTCAACGAAAGGCGGACGGAATTCGACTTTCAACGATAGTATTGTGAGAGAAGTGCGACGGAAACCGATCGTTTTCGATCCATCGCATCCACTGCACGCCAATTCATTGAAGAAGCAGGAAGCGTGGAATGAAATTGCTGCAAACCTAGATGAACAGGGTAGGGATTCATTGTTGAAATTCATCAGTTTGAGTGCTTTGAGGTGCACGCCTCAATGGACTAGCCAGTGACCTAATGGTGAGGTGAATTTGGTTTGGACAACCCGTCCAATTCATCAGTGTGCATCTTTTTTTAAAGGGAATGCTTGGGGTATCTGGTAAAATAATCGTGGTACTCGTTATTTGATCTGACCAATGATTCTTTTTTGGTTTTTATTTTCCCTCTGTGGTCACGGAAGAGTGAATGGAGCTAGCGTATAATAATACTGGTAATGAGGAGACTGAAAACGTGCTGAGTCTTAAGGAAAAGTTTTAATGAGACATGACATTCCAGATGTTATTTTCACTGAATGTCCCTTTAAATTGTATTCAACGCAGATGATTCTTAGCAATATGCGGATTGGTCAGTTTAAGAGGTTTGTCTGCGATTCATATTGACTATTCGAGATATTCTCCTGGGCTCATTTCAGTTGAAACGGTCAAGACTAGATGGCGAACGTTACGTGATCGCTATACCAAGGAACGTCGTCGTATTAGTTTGAACGGTGGTGAATCATCGTTCTCCTACTATACAGATCTGAATTTTCTGGATCAGTGCATAAACGATGGAAGGTTAGACATTGGAATGATCATCGTGTGGTTATTTCCGGTTCGGTCACTTGAGCGTAACTGATTCCCTGTGAACTCGTTGCGTTCACTTAAACCACTGGTTCTCAACCTTTTTTCCCGTCGCACACCCCAGAAAATTTTAAGATCTCCTCGCATCCCTCACAATATCCACTGTGTATCTCTTATCCAATCGAGTGAATGTTTATGGTGTAGATAAGTATTCCTCACCTACTCGCACACACACACATGCATTGAATTCCCGTCCTCGCCTACTTCAGTGTCCGAAAAAATAAAACCTTATTTCGCACCCCCCGGACTACTATTTCGCACCTCTTGGGGGTGCGAGCACCCTCAGTTGACAAACCCTGACTTAAAACATCCAAGGAAGTCGCACTGTCAAGGGAATCATACCGTTCAACGCTTGCTTGAATCTCGATGTTCACCCGAATGAAATTTGCAGCGATAACTTCAGCTACTGTATTGTTTAGCAGCATAAATTAGTGATAGCGTACGCAAATTTCTTCAGTGAGCGTTTTAGTGAGCTACTTTTTCGTTGTCTTTCGCTAACTCTCTAATTTTTCTCTGCAATAGAATGCCTAATTTTTCCAGTAGTGAGATATTTAAAATTCATATTTGTGGTGTAACAATAAAAAGTACTAAATTCGAATTTCCCTTAGTTGTACTCTTCCGAATGATTCGAAGTTGAATATTCAATCCTACCTCAAATGTTTGCCCTAAGTGCACCACAAGCATTCCGTCTCAGCTCACTATGTTACGTTACTCGTAAAATGTTATGTGGTGAATGAAATTTTCTTCGTTTTTCATCGTCTTCCTCCCGATTTTCCTCAGTTTCGAACTTTTCAGTTGTTATTACAAGCGTTAATTCATTTGAGTGGAACACTTTACGTCATTCGAACATAAAAACTCGGATGACTGATTGCCCTTTGTCGATAATTGCCATTGTTTTATTCGATGTTTCTTTGAACGTTTATTGCTCTAATGCTTTTGGAGATGATCAGAGTGTTCCGTTGATACAATTAGCTGCAATGTTACCGGGAAAATGGTTTCCGATCAGAAATGTTTTTAGGAGCAAAATGATGAGCCATGGGGATAACTCGCACGGTTTCGATATGGAGTCGAATCCCTGGCCTCATCTCAATGACTATTTGTTATTCAAAAATAGAGAGGACGAGATCTATGTTTTCGAATGTAAGGTGTGCTTACCGAAAATGCATGAAATAAGAGCACATAGAACCACCAACCACAACATTAAGAATCACTTCAAAAGGAAACATCCAGCCAAATATGACGAATTAAGTGAAGTAATAAAAGCTGCATCGAATCGCGGAAAGAGGTAATTGCGTAATGAGGTCTTTTCCAGAGTAATAAGCTTTGCAATTGCAAATTTTGAGGGATCATTTGAAAGCAGCGATTAGCGGACTAATTTTTATGTTGTCCAAAATAGCGTTTCATCAAAATGTTTCCCTACTTTTTTGGATAGCAGCGCTTTTAGCGAAAAGTTCTCGCTTGTCTTCCGTTATCAGAACTAAAGGCGGAATATTTTTAGCGGAAGAAGATTGTTTTGTTAGCGAATTAACGATTAGCGGAGCTTCTTTTTTCAATAGTGGACCTGATTATGAGATATGAAATATGCTCATCGAATAACTTAATTTATGAGTGTGTTAGTTATCATTGTTGGAACCAAATGCATTCATTCGTAACATCTCGAGATCTGTAGAGAATAAATCATTGCTTCCTTCTTCTGGGTCTTTTTGAAATGAGTTTTTTGAGTTGATTTCTTCGTTGCAGGCGGCAGAATAGCGTAACAGTTTCATCAGCCGTCAAACTGGAAGCATTTGAACAAGCATCAGATGCTGGTGATGAACTGGATTCGAAGAACGACGATAATCCAAGGTGATTATTGACCGATTGATTTGCTTCCTCATTGTCAAGAACCTCGATCACGATAATCTCATCATGTTGTTCGATTTCCCATTGAACTGCCAATTTGAACCTGAGATGAACGAATTACGAATTGAAGAATCGCTCATTAGAACATTCGAATTTTCTTTGAGGTTGTATTCGTCTTCTTCAAGCGTGCAATGCTGCAGGTTCTTTGTTTTGTGAAACTTATAAATGCATTTGGATTCATATTTCGACAATAACTAGTACTCATTCGTTTCCAGGACTGAGGCTGAGGAAGTGTCGCATGCTGATGATTTGGAGCCATCAATATCCAGAATCGGAGCCAGCGCTGATCGTCACTTATCCGTACAGCAGCAAACACGCCCAAATTCTGGCTCCGAAAGTGGCGCCGTCTCGGACCCGGTGATCATTGATGATAATGGTCCACCAAAGAAACGCTTTCGGAGTGCACCTTTAACGATTAGCGCGGAATGTAGTTCGTCATCATCAGCAGTGGATACGTTGGCGGATGCGTTACTGGGAAGTGCTGGCGCATTTATGCGAAGCGCAGATGCCCTGCAACGTCTCGTTGATTCACGTCCCACCTCGACGGCACATCGAAGCTCCGTTGCGGCAGATGCGCAACGAGATGCGGACGAATGCTTTGCGGATTTTGTTTGTATGTCGTTGAAGGCTATCGATAACGAGAGTCGTGTCCATGCACGTATCGCCATCATTCACGCCCTTGCTCAATTCCAAACTTAATTTTTCCTTGTTTGATATCTTATGGCCAACGATGAACACTCTTAACAGCAGCAACAAATGAAGCACAGTAAATATCAGTAAATTCTTAATTCACTGCTCTTAACCACCGGTATTTTCATCCTCCCCTTTTCAAACGTTGTCCATCTGCAGCAATCAGAAACTTTCATGATGGGCTCACATTAAGAAGTGGAATTTGGAGCAGAACAACTCAAATACTTTGAAAATATCATTCCACTGTTTAAAACTGAGGATTCGATTCCTCGTTTCTAGTGTATTTTTATCAGTTTCAGTTAATTCTTTGAAACTATTAACATTAGATTGCAAAATTTCCTTTACATATGTACGGGGCTTTGCGAAAGCATTCGAAATCATACTGAGTTCTCGAATGGCGATTTCTGGTTGATGTGACGAGTTCTAGTTCATGTTCTCTTCTAAATATTCTGTTCCATTGCTCTTGATGATTATCAAATAGAATCGATATTCAGTATTAATCGCGAGATTCACTTAACTCGCATATTTTCACCTTATTGTGTTTACTGTGTCTTCCTCAAATTCGAATTTGTCACTCCTGTAGAAAATTCTTCTAAGCCAATCTTTTCATGCACAGTTTTATGCAGTGTTGGGCGCGCTATCGCTATTCCGCTATCGAAAAGACTTCCGCTAGTCCGCTACCGCTATCGCTATTACCCACCGAATCGATAGCGGAGCGCTATCGCTACCGCTATCGCTAT